CGTAGCTGCAGTTAAGCAATACATGTTCTATTGTCTCACTATCCTCTCCACACACTCTACATATTGGATCACTTTGCTTTGTCCTGCTAGTAATTAGTTGTCTTACTGGGAGGGCTTGGTTCAAACATTTCCACAAGAAGATCTTCACCTTATGTTTGACGTTGAGCTTCCACAAGTGTTTCCAGTTTCTTTGACTTTGATTGCTCCAGCTTGTGCTAGCATTCTCCTTTCCTTTCCTTTCCTCTTCTGTTCCAGCTTTTCTTGAGTTAATTTCCTGTATGCTGAACCCACTGAGTAACTACCATTTGTTCCATGGATCCAATAGTTGCTATCCTCTCATCAGCTAAACTGATGGGGATGCTCAAAATTCTTTCTGTCTCCTTACTGTTGAAGATCCTGAATATTAGCTGTCTCTTCCATCTTCTTTGATGTATCAGTTCCTCAACCTTTTGTAGAGTGCATCCCTGGGGTTTTTTTAAAGCCACTTTACCTTGATGATCATTTGGAATCCAACAATCCTCCCATATATTGGTGCTATTCCCATTCCTTATCCTCCTTCTAAGTCCTTTTTCCACTGGCTTCCTCGCCCCTATCAATCCTTTCCAGATCCACGAAGCATTTGTAAGTACCTTACACTTGAAGATCGAATCCTTTGGATAGTACCTAGCCTTAAGCACCTTACTAACAAGCAGATTTGGTTGTGTGAGTAATCTCCACACCTGCTTGCCTAGTAAAGCTGTGTTAAAAGCCTCTATGTCTTTAAAGCCCAGTCCTCCAGATTTCCTATCCAAAGAGATATTGCTCCAGGAGCTCCAGTGCATTTTGTTTCTTCCATTTGCCTCTCCCCACCAATAATTTGCCATTGTGGAGTTAATATCCTTACAGAGCCTTTTGGGAATCTTGAAGTATGACATAGTATATGTTGGCATTGCCATAGCTACAGCTTTAAGCATAACCTCTTTTCCAGCCGCACTCAGCAACTTATTTTTCCACCTTTGTAACCTCTGTTGGATGTTATCTTTGATGTACCCAAATAGCTGTTGCTTGGAACAAGTAACCACCATTGAAAGCCCCAGATATCTTCCTTTATTAACTAGTTGAATGTCTCCCAGAGCTTTACAAGTATCCAGTTTTATCTCCTGTCCCACATTTGTGCTAAAGAAAACTGAGGACTTTTCTATATTAATCATGTGTCCTGTACATTTCTCATATACTTGAAGAATCCTTCTCAGCTCAGTTGCATTTTGGGGATCAACCTTACAGAATATCAGAGAGTCATCAGCAAAAAATAAATGAGACACACTAGGACCCTGTCTGCTGATTTTCAGACCCACAATTCTTTTCTCCTCAATAGCTATGTGAAGTAGATTAGAAAGTCCTTTTGAACATAAGAGGAATAGGTATGGTGATAATGGATCACCCTGCCTAATTACTCTCTGAGGAACCACATATTCTCTTACTTTACCATTGATTGTGAAGGAGTAAGTGACTGTTGACATTGAATCCCATTTTTTGCATCACAGCTTCCAAATATCTCCATTCAACCCTGTCACAAGCTTTTGACATGTCTAATTTCACAGCCATAAAACCATCTTTTTCTAGCCTTTTGTTTTTAAGATAATGAAGGAACTCATGGGAGATCATAATATTACCAAGAATTTGCCTTCCAGGAATTCATTTTATTATTCTTGAAACATACAATTGTACAGTTCCTGTCCATACCAGATTGTAAACATTATTGTATATCACTGTCCAGCTCTGGGCTATTGCCACTTAAAACTTAGAAGGGTCTCCACCTAATATTAGGATTCAGCATATGAAATGTGGCTTTAGTTACTTGTGATCACCAGATTAAAAGGAAAAAAGAAAAACCATGTGTAGGTTGGTGCCCGGTAGCTTGGAGAATGGCATCAACAGCAATCAGAGCTCCATCCTTGAAAGCTATTTAGCCATTTTCATAGCAATACTCGACCTGCAAGTTGCTTGAGTAGTTGGAATTGCATACTGATATAAAAAAACATGTCTACCAAAATAATCATAATCATAAAAAAGAATCCAGTCAAAGGAATTTTATATATCATATAAAAAAGGGTAAATCTTTTATACACGATAGTGTATATACTAGCAGGTCTAGATATATGCTACACATACAAAATTTGATATATAAATTCAAAATTAGATGGTATGGCATTCATCCAACCCCGTCAATGTATATACTAACAATGTAGGAAAGGCTTTTAATGGCAAAGGTAAATCTTTTATATATTAATAGTATATATACTAGCAAGTCTAGATACATGCCATATATACAAAATTTGATATTTAAATTCAAATTTAGTAAGATTTAAAGGATTTTTTAACTTTGGTTTAGTAAGATTCATACATTTTTTAACTTTTTTTGTTTAGGTGGCAGTGGATTTCAGTTTTCTTCCTGTTGAGGTTTGAGGCCTGCCCAAAGCGAATTCTTCATAGATCATACAATCAGGCTGATGGTGAATTTGCTAGTGATAGTGAACCTCTGCAAGTTCATTTCAAGTAACTTAAGGGAACAAAGGAGTTAAAAAATTGTTTGGACAAGAGTTATTTGATTTTTTTTTTTTAAGTTTTGAGACATTCCCTAAACACATTTTGTTACTATCCTCTTACCCCACTACCACAAAACAGGAGAAAATGCTAAAATGTAAAACAAAATGTTTATCCACAATTTTTCCATATTTATCCTTTTCAAAATTACATATTAAATCAAAAGTATTAACGTTTTAGTCTAAACTTCTATGATAAAGATACTAAAATGTAAAACAAAATATTAGCCATATTTCTTTTCTCTATACCTTCTTCATTTCTTCCAATTTTTAAATCACCCCACCCAATCCAACTTTCTGCCTTTTAATTATCCAAATTTAAAGAAAAATATTTTTACAAATGTTGTAATTTTATTAGTTGCACATGCATCGAGTGTGCGCGAATCATTAGTTTATATAAAATAAGCCTCAAAAACATGAAATCCACGAAGGAAACAAATTAAGGCCCAATAATTTATTCAAACAAACCAGTGCGTGAGCCAATCTTCAATAACAATGGGTGAGCCAAACTTCAATTAAATGGGCATTAATAAATTCCCCATGTTTCTATGCCAACCTTATTTTTGTAAAACATGTACTATCCCACATTAAATGCCTCGAAAATAAAGTACTATCACAACCGCATAACTGCTTTTTTATAATTAGTGTACAAAGTAGGCATAACTGCCATCACATCTTTCTTTGTACTAGTTGAAAGTACTACAACATTATTGCTGGCTTTACTAGGAAAATAGCACGATAGCAGGAAAGTTTTTTCAATGCGTGAATCTATTGCCACTACATGTCCCTACAGGAGAAAAATGATGTGATCTAGATCACACTCCACAAATTGCAAGATACACAGAAAACAGAATAGTTCTATTGCCAAAATGGCGATTACAAGCGGAACAAAGCAAGTCCTAGCAGAGGGAGACAAAGGCTGAGGGTAAAACTGAAACCTCAATTATTGTAGCAGTACCAATCTTGAACTGAACTTTTAGTCTAAGGATAAACCTCAATGAGACAGCGCACACCCAACACTGGAAGTGCTTTGTAGTCACTGAAACCAGCATCTTGGAAAACCTTTGCCCATTCTTTCTCAGTTCTTTCTTTAGCACCGTAACACGTCAACATCTGCATGTCCACAACAAATTGTGTTTCAACTGACTCGTCGTCTTTCATGTGGCTTTCCAAAATCATGTCGATAATAATGACTTTCCCCCCTTTGTCTCTCCCTGGAATAGCCTCTTTGCAGTTCTTGAGAATCTTCACACAATCATCATCACTCCAGTCATGGAGAATCCACTGTTTTCCAGTAAAATCACAAAATTTAGAATACAGAAATTAGCTGTGTTGGCGTCCTAAATTAAGATTATCACACTCCATCACTGCCTCACGCATCGATTAATGAGCGCCAAGAACTCCAGTTTCTATAGCAAATATTCTAGCCTCTCAAGCAAAAATTTTGCATATGATTATTACTGTTATTCTTTCATGCTACTGGCGTCTATGTTAGCGATCTTACAAATCAACTATTAAAGCTGGACGTTCAATTGTTTATATTTTAGTTCATTGAAATCGTTGTAGACTTATTTATCAACAACGAACTTCATGGAAAATATCCTTAATTACCTTGAGCAAGATTGCATCAGCAGCAGGTACCTTCTCTAGCATATCTCCTGCAACGAAGTCCAAGTTCTCAGTTCCCTCTTGGCCGGCAATCACGTGTGGGAGATCACACACAACACACTCCAAGTTGGGGAAATTTTGGGCAATGGCCCTAGCAACTGCCCCTGTGCCACCCCCAACATCCACTAAAGATGTCAAGCCGTCAAACACAAACTTGCATTGGGTCATCATCACCTGAACGGTTAAAGTAGAATCATTGGCCATGGCTTCATTGAAGAGGTTTGCAAAATTAGGCTCTTCAGCAGCATAAGCCCAGAAGTTTTTCCCGTGCGCCGTATGAAATGGAGAGGGATCATCATTCCTGAACCACTCAGTCAAGGAATTCCAGGGCTTCACTAAAACAGGATCGCTTGTATAAAAGATAAATGCCCTTAAATTGAAAGGCTCCTCTTTTAAAAGAAGACGGCCTGCAGCTGTGAGCGCATAGCCTTGATCTTGTAGAACAAAGAAGCCGGCATTTGATAAGAATCGCATCAAGCGATAGATGTGGTTAGCCTTCGAAGGGTTAATTGGAAGGGCAGAAACCAGCTCAGAAAGTGTGATAGGCTTCCCATGTTGATTGATGGCATCCGGGATTCCCAGTTCAATTGCACATTTTAGAGATGCAGACTTTCTGAAGTTGGGCATCTGGTTGCCTACATGATTTTGAGCTGCAAGAAGCTCAGTAAGATTCTCCACTCTTTCCATTCCTGCAACTTCTCGAATCAATGATTTAGGCTGCTTGATTATTGCTTTACAAGTTGGGCAAAAATGGTTTCCAGTTTTTATAGCAGGTGAGCACAGAGACCAACGGCATCTGCCTGCACTTAATATTAGTCTTTCATTTTTTTTATTTTTTTATTTTTTTTGCTGATTAGTGAGAATTAAAAACATTCGAACAAGTTCCGACTCGTCGGCTTTGGGCTTGTAAAGTTAAAAAACCAAAGGCCTTTTTAATTTTAGTGTTGGGCTGTTTAATTGGTCCAGCCTGCTTGAAATCCTAAGTCACGCATCCCAATTCCGTTGCTCAAGTGACACATTGCAAGACACATTGCAACAACGAAAATTCTTGTAACTCAACTCACATATAAAATTAAAAGAATTGTCACGTGGCGGAATTAGTGAATTTAACATGGAATGAATTTTACATCTGCAATTGTATTGTGACCGAATGTCTGTAACTGAGGATTTGATGCCTTTTCAACTTAATAACCTTGATGTTGTACTAAGTCAACAACGAACAAAATAAGCCAAAAAAAGGGCTCCCAAATGTTTTTTTAGTACTCTAAGCAAGAAATTACGAGCAACTGAGAACGCATTTGTGCTCTGTTCATTGTTGATAATGAAACACAGTGTTACATGCACCAAAGATTTGATAAGTAGCAAAATTTGCACAATCTCTGCTCGGTCTTCACCAATCAGCTAAACTAAGTATCATGCAATCAGAATAGAAGACGACTCACGAATTAAAAAAAAAAAAAGACAGAAGAAGATCAGGAATACAATTAACAGATTGTTAGTGAAGCCCTGGAATTTCTTGACCGAGTGGTTCCAGAATGATGATCCCTCTCCATTTGATACTGCGTATCGGAATAATTTCTGGCATTACAACGCTCAAGAAGTTCGATTTGGAAAAATGTTTAATGAGGCCATGGCTAGTGATAATCAGTTGTCTGTTGAAGTGCTGATGACCAAATGCATGTCTGTGTTTGAAGGCTTGACAACTTTGGCTGATGTTGGCGGTGGCACAGGTAAAGTTGCTAGGGCCATTGCCCAAAACTTTCCTAACATAAAATGTACAGTGTATGATCTCCCACACGTCGTTGCGAATCAAGAAGGAGCTGAGAACTTGGAATTTTTAGCTGGAGATATGTTTCAAAGTGTACCCCGTGCCAATGCAATCTTGCTGAAGGTAACTAAAGCCATCTTGTCACTGAATTTCTGATTTTCTTATTAACTTTTCGGTTTTTTTTCTCTTGTTTGGAATTGCTTTGCATGATTTGAAACTTTTGAAGGAGAATTAATTAATTTTTTCAATTAAAATTCTTGCGTTTTGCTATGATTTATCTATCTTGGTTTAATTACGTATTTGTGATTGGTCACCATAGACATGCTCTTAGGGTTTGTATTGAATTGAGAAGGAATATACAACCGTGTACTAAATAGATAAACACGCTTAGCTTAATCACGAAAGTAGGTTAGGATTTGCATGACGCACTTATGTTACCAAGGTTCCAAAGGGACTTAATTGAATGTTTACGGTCTCATGAGAGGCGTAGAATTTCATTAAACACATTTTAGATGTATCGAAAAATAATCTAAAATACAATTGTGTGAGACGTTCATAACTTGACAAGAAAAGTAATTGGAGAATAAATTCAATCTATGGATTAAAACCTGAACCCTAGGCTTGCTTAACTATTGTTCCCTCGCTTCTTATCAATTTAATCAAATTAATTGTTAGTTCTTTCATGATAATATAAAACCTCTTCTCGTTCACTCTTTTGTGAAAATAATTAAAGTGGAGAAATTTGATTTGTTCCTGTGGGTTCTGACCCTGGAATACTCTACGTTAATTAGTACTGCGATCGACTCTGTGCGCTCGCAGGAAATCGTCGATCACTATTTTTCCTGCAAATGCTGTTATAATGAAGGTAAGTTCACCTTTCCAAGATGATGCAACAGATCCATATTCACCTTTTTGTTGTTAAAGTCATTCTTAGCACTGATTCTGAACACATCTATGCATGCTTCTGATTCATTACAACCATGTCTATATTACAGTAAAGCATTGGATCAGTCATGGAAGTTTATTCACAAATAGGGCATTAGCAAATCTTTTGGAGGGGCAGGAGGCTTCTGTACCTCATATCAATTTCAATTTTCTTTAATAACTTTAACAGTGTTCCTGACGGATTTGAATTCTTTGCGATATGAATGTTAATTTAAACAGTGGATATTGCACGATTGGAATGATGAGGAATGTGTACAAATACTTCGGAAATGCAAAGAAGCAATTCCTAGCAAGGAAAATGGAGGGAAGGTGATAATCATAGACATGGTACTGAGTGACCAACAGAAAGGAGCTGATGATCACGAGGCAATTGAAACTCAACTTTTCTTTGATATGTTGATGATGGTCCTTCTCAGAGGGAAACAAAGAAATGAGAGAGAGTGGGCAAAACTCTTTTCTGAGGCAGGATTCAATGACTATAAGATAACTCCAGTACTGGGCTTGAGATCCCTTATCGAAGTTTATTATCAGGAGTAGTGGACAGTTTTCTTGGACCATTTTTGTTAGACATGTGTATGAAGTCAACATGTTTATCTTTTCTTCTTTTACGATTGAAGTCTTTTGTGGCATTTTCTTTTCATTTTCAATAAATCAATATTTTTTTTGGGAGGTGAAAATAGCTATGCAAGAATTTTCTGCAGGGCAATTCTATCGGGCGGACATGTGAGTTACATTCTCAACAGCTCCTAGGACGATCTTGAGTATTTATTTCTTTTCATGGCCCGTCCCAGGGAAAGAATTTTAGGAATCATTCGTTAACCCCAATCGACAGACTACAGGGCAGAAAACTTAGCCCAAAATTGTGACCCAACATTAAGCCCATAGGGTCGTTAATGAATTTAATCAAGTTGAACATTCTAATATTTAAACTTGTTTGATTATTTTAACGAGTTTAAAATTTTATTTTGATTTGTTTATTTGTCCAATCGAACTTGAACAAGTTTTATCAAATTTGAATGCTATCGAATATAAAATGCTATTCAAATTTGATTTGACCAGTTGGCAAATCAAACTCGAACGAGCTCTTAAACTCAGTTCAAGGATCGAATAGATTAGTTCATCTTTCAACCCTAATCGTGCGGTTTCAATTTCTGAATTTTCCTCATCAAAACCTTATTTTTTTTCTTTTTTGATTGTTTTATACAACTTATCAAAATATAACTATGCAGTAATTTCTTTTCACCTTCACACGACGAGGCAAGAATTTCAGGAGTAAGGTATTATAAATTTTATATGTATGTTCAATTACCAAAATGAAAAAGCTTTTACACAAAGCAAAAATAAAATTATAGTACGTCTGACCTTTTTCTTACACTTTTTTTTTCTCAAATAAGCAAAGAAATAGCACATAAACAAAACTTTTTACACAACCCAATTAATTTCGAAATTGGAAGGGGGGGAAAATCAATAGAGTAGCTGGACAAATACCCAAAGTTTTAGTGCAACCAAATAGGTTGATGTCCAAGATTGTACTGATTAAAAATGTATGACAGTGATAAAAAGTATAAGAGTAATTTCAAAATTGCCACCGTTGATGCCCAAAATTGCGTTTTATATCATGAAAATTACATCCAAAAAGTATAATAGTAATTTCTTTTCCAAAATCTCTTCCTCAAAATGCAATTCGAACAACCTCTTAATTTTCTTCAAAGGAAAGCTTTTAGAGCTCAAGCAAACATCACTCGCACTAGTATCACCTAACCAGTTTGTATAGGTAAATCACTCGCACAGTCGTACTTTGTATGTATAGGTGGCTAAACATTGAATACATTGAGAGTTTTCATTTATTCTCTTAAATTGGACCAACAGTTAAAGGTGCAAACGTTCATTTATAGCTAAATTACTCTTTAGGGGCAAAAAGTCTTCCAAATTTAATTATTTTTTTTTTACTAGATGCCAAAATATGTCTACCGTAATATTGTCCATAAGTTGGAAAAAAAGCTGATTATTCTGAATAATCTCAAGAAGCATAGAATGGTAGTAGATCATCTATGATCATGTCAATATACCAAATAATCATACAAGTTCTTACACATCCGAAGTTTGATGATGAAATTACTCGACCAGAAAGAGTAAAGACCAGCGTACATCAAAATAATCTTAGTTCGAGAAATTCAGGGAACAAAAAATCAAACAAAGTTTGTTTTCTTTTCCTTTTTTTTTTAAGAATTCAGACAAAGTTACTCAATCAAGACTGCCATTTTTTACAGCCTTGTGCTGGATTTTTCACAGACATTGCAAGTTTCAATGCTTAGAAAAATTGACAAAATAAATTTGCCAAAATCAAGTTCTTCAAGAATGCCAACTTTGGACGAGCCGTTCTCTAAATCGAACCCGTGTGATGAACATCAATTCCAAACTTGCAATCATCAACTTTTTCAGTTGCTCATCCGTGGGTGGTAACCCTGCTTGGGCAGCTACTGGCTAAGGGTGAGTGTGGGTCGGGTACCCGCACCATTCATCATTTAGCTAATCCGATCCGCACCTTGCGAATCAGTCATTTTCTGACTCTTATCCGCCCCGCATATCAGTGGGTATCCGATTACAGGATACCCGCTGAGACAAGGTCGGGTCAGCAGGTATCCGTCCCACCCCATTTATTATTTAATTTTTTTAAAAAAATAATTTATATCAATTTAATTTTATATTTTACACATTGATCTAAGATTTAATAATTTTTTTCTAAAAAAATTTCCCTCCAAGAAACGATTATGTGAAGAGAATATAAGATAAAGGGAAAAAATTAAAAGAATTCAAAATTAATAAAAGTTTGAAATAAATAGCACAATTTTTAATATATATGTTCCACATTAATTAAACTCTTTTCTATAAAATATAAGATGATGACCTCTACAAAATGAATCTTGTAAATGAACTATAGTCTCTCATATTTGTAATGTAATTTATTCAATAAAATTATTTATTTAATTCTAAATTATTATTTTATAGTATGTGTATAAAAATAAAATAAAATATATATATGTGAAGCGGATCGGGTACCCGCGAATTTTTAATTATGTGACCCCAATCCGCCCCGCATCTTAGCAAGTACCCGACCCTCTTTTGATCCAATTAAGTAATAAAAATCGGATATTCTAATTTTCGGATCGGATCGAATACGACGAATTTTCGAATTAGTTGATAATTTTGCCCACCCCTACTGCTGGCCAGTCCAAGTATATAAGGATCCCTTTATGGTGGGAATGGTTTGGAAGGCATGCAGGGGATGACACCTGTTGGAGTGGATTGGACTGGTAACGGAGACGGTATTCTGTAGCCAACGCGCATGGAAGGAAAACAAAGCAGAACGTCTCCGGATGCAACCAAATTCATATGGAATACCATACGATGGTATCCGCATAGGTTAGGCAAGGAAGGATAATTGCATGTTTGAACCAGAGGTGCGTATCATTTGCAAATGTTGCCATAAGGAATGGAAAAATGCGACAACTCCCTTTAATTGTAATTTTGCGTAAAGAAAGTACCGAAATTGAAATAGATAATAATTATAAATGTGACGCGTGTATGGGAGAAGAAATTGGAAGAAGGAAAAGTGGAGGTAAATGTAATAGTTCTGCGACAACTTGAAATACAAAAAGATTCACACCTGCATAATATATATATAAATTTAGTACCCAAATGTTCAGCCTAAGCATCCGGTTGAGCCTTGTGACTAATGTTACCGAAAATAAAATCTGCAATTAAATTTGATAAACCGATGTTGAGGAAACCTCTGTCAATTCATTTATTATTGTACTAATCTTACCAAAAGCAAGCCCGACACTCTATGAACTAAGGAAATGTATTTACTATTGGTTGATTTCACTAAAAATAACCATGAACCATTTAATGATTTAATGATACCAACCTTGTGTGAAGTAAAATATGCATCCTCTCCCACGTCGGCGTTTTTAAAATTTGTAATCTTTTATTATGTCTATATTTTTTGATTAAAAATAAAATCCCTCCTTTTCACATGCTTCCCTAATCCATGTTTCGTCAGTTATACTTAATTTTGAAAAATGTACTAGAAAATAGTTCGTTTTCTTAAATTATAATTAATTTTCAAAAATTTACCGATGACGTACCTCATATATTTGGATTAAGCATGCATTCTATATTCGTTGTCCATGAAATCGTATGTATTGTTGTGTAATGAAATCGATAACAACTGTCGAAATCCAACAATGTGGTTGTATTAGTTAAGTTTAGTTCGTAAAGTTAAAGTCTTCCAAACATAGTATAGGAAGAAGTAAGAAACATTGTGAATGATTTTGCAATATAATTTCAATTTGAATAATTTAGAAAAATTAAATATCATCATGTTTGATAGTGGGTAGGCTTACCAAAATAAGAATGAACAATTAAATGGTTCAACCTAACAATAATGAAACCGTCCCCAAATACTTTAGTGTTTGCATTAGACTTAACAAAGTTTTTATTTTGACGTCTTTAGCTGCTATGAAACAAATATATGAAAATATCATTGCAATTGGTTAATTATATTACAATTACAAATGAACATATTAATGGTTTAACATCAAAATGAGGACATTGTGAATGATATGATTTGGGAAAAAAATATAGTGTCAGCCTTTTGGTATTTTTCACGATTAACATATTGTGATTGTGAAATAAATATGTTTGGTACTCATCTTAGCGTATTAGTTTTTTGTAAGTCGCTATACTATTGTTAGTTTGAATGGAAAGTTTAGTTGCATGTTGTTTGTGTGGAAGTTGTAAAGTAACTATGCAATCCTAATTATTGTTATGATTGGTTAGTATTTTTTGGCATAGGTATATATTGTTGGTATTTTGTTATTCTTTTGAATAAATTTTTTGGTATATTAAGTGCTGAAAATAATAGTTTCAGAATGTATGCAATTTAATAATGTTATGAGGAGGATAAGTTCTAAGGTGAACAAATGTTATTCACAGAAATTAATTTATGATTAAAAGCATGCATTCGGATGCTCGGGCAATGTTATAGTTTGTCTAAAGTGAATGAGTTGGGAATATTTTTTCTCTGTGTGTTACTGAAAATAACACATTTTGATATAAAAAAAACACAAATATTGACATCATCTTAAACATTCGGCTTTTCGTTTGCAAATATCATGTTTCAACACAAAATAATTTAAGTATTTTGATTAGAAATGTTTATGCATGTATCAAATGACTAGTGTATAAAAAAATTAAAAACATGCATTTAATATTGTGTTAGTAGTCATTTCAATTTTGTAAACTACCATTCGTTCGTATAAATTTTGTCGTATAAATTTTGTACTAATTGTTATGTTGTGTCCATTGGAAATGGATGTAGTTGGAAGTAGTATGGATGTAATCATGCCATTCTAAATGTTTTTCCAAATTATTGATCTCAGTATTTAATACTGTGAATATGGATTAAGTTCATGAATTTGGTTTTAATGATGAAAGAATAATAAATGTAATTGCAGTTATTGTGTACGACATAT